GTAAAAACTTATACATAAGTAAAAACTTAAACTAGGGGATAGAGACCTAGTACAGAAGTTAAAGTTCTTGCATTTGGCTGACTAGGGTTCAACTGACAGTATGGTACATAGTTCCCTGACCATGATCATTGAGCACAGACTGAGTACAATGGGTGTGGTTCAAAAACAAGCAAAAAAGGAAGATTCACAAAACATTAAATCAGAGTCTAGAGAAATAGTGCAGTAATTTAGAGAGCCTCTTTTACAATTAAATTAATTTAAAAATTTAAAAAGAGGCGCCTAGAGAGATAGTATAGGGGTAAAGCCCTTGCATGCATGTTGTCAACACAGGTTCAATCCTGGGCACTACATATGGTCCCCTGAGCATCACCAGGAGTGATGAGTAAACTCATCTCAACACATATAGAGCAAGGAGTAAACCCCGAGTACAGCTGGCTATGGCCTAAAAAACAAAACAAAAAACACTAAGGATGAGGAGATAGGGAAATGAGAAGAGGATAAGAAGTGAAAAAGCTAGGGCCAGCAAGACAGCTCAACCAGATGGAGTATATGTTTTACATGAAAGAGGCCAAGGTTTCATCCCCAGCACCTCATGGTTCTGATCACCACTGGGATTGACTCCTGAGCATTGAGTCAGGAGTAAGGCCCTGAGCACTGCCTTCCCAAAGAATAAGCTAAAGTTTTAATATCAACAGGTATGTCAAAGATTTTTTTTAACAAGAAATAAAAGCATGAGTATTTTGTTATTTTTAATTTTTTATTGAATCACTGTATATTACAAAGTTATTGACAATTGTCTCAGGCATACAATGTAATATGAGCATTTTATTTAAAATATGAAGGTCATAGGCCAGACAGGTAGTAAGTCAAGCATGTAAGACACTTCCCTTCTACGCAATGGACCCAGGTTCAGCCTCCAGCACCTCACACTGCCTCCCAAGCAGTATGACTCCTAAGCTTGGAGCCAGGAGAAAGCCCTGATCAGAGCTGGGACAGGCCAAAAGAATTATAAAGGAAACAAAGAAGAAATATGAAGTCAAATTATCAGAAAGTTAAAACCAAAAAAGATAAGTTATAGCAAAGTCTATCGGGCACAGAAATCCACCATGAAGAGAAGGCAGAAAATGACTGGTTTTTAGGTCTTGTAGTACCTTTGAACTTAAAATACACACATGCATATGTGTACACAAATGCTACTTAGGCAAAGAGGAGGAAAAAAGAGAAAATTCAGACTACTGAATTTGCCAATGGGTACTTTTTTTATCAATCTTTGCTCTAGAATCTATTGAAATAACAGAAAGAAGATAAAAATAAATCTAAGGATCTGTAAATGTAGCTCAGCAGCACGGCATTTGCTTTGCATGTGTGAGACCCTGGGTTCAATTCCCTGCATAATAAAAATAAAATGAAATTTACTAAATAGCTCATTTATGGTCTGTAGTGAAATTCAACAGGTATTATGCATGCTTTGCACAGAGGTCTGGATTCAATTCCCTGCACAGCATGGTTCCCCAGGAACTGAGCTGGAGCAGACCCTGAGCACCACAGGGTATGGCCCCAAAAGCTAAATAAATCTACATCTCTCCTGTAAAGACCAGAGAATGGGAACGAAGAGATAGTACAGTGGGCAGAGTGATTGCCTTGCAAATGATTGACCAGGGTTCAATCCCTGGCACCTCATATAAGACCCCAAGCAAAGCAGGAAATGATAGCTGAACTCAGAGCCAGGAGTAAGCCCTGAACATGACTGGGTGTAGCTCAGAACCCAAAAGAAATAAAAAAAGAAAAATTATAGGAGAAGGGGAGAACATATCTCCAAGACAGAAGTTTCTGGATGACAGGGAATGGTTAGGATCAGATTATAAAAGCTAATGTACTTGATTTAAAAAACCCTATGAGGGAAATCCAAAATGGAAGCTTTGACAGCAGAGCCCCCAGCAAGTCCCCAAAGCAACGCCCAACTCCTTTTCTACCACCAAGCTGCCAGCAGTCAAGACTCACTCTACAAGAAGGGATCATGGACACTTAGCACTCCTCCCGGCTGACCAAGGAGAGCAGAGACTGGGAGAGGAGCCAGCATCATGCAACCACCAGGGAAGATGTCCTTTGGGACGAGTTTTATTAGCTCAGCTCCACCTCTATGGAAACAACCATCTCATTCAGAGCACCTCCAGACCATGGCACCTCCATGGTCAAACAGGGAGCTTACAGCAGGCAGTACGGTAGCCCCTCAAAGCACAGCGGTGAGGTTCATGATGAAGAATCCTTGAAATCAATGCCTTACTGAAAAGCCACTCCTTTCACTTTTGCTGGAGAATCCCTGAACTTTCCTGGGTTCCTTGAAAAGGTTTCTTTTGGGGGATAGCCTCCAGAGAGTGTCAGGGGACACTGGAGTGACACATGGTAACCTGGGCCAGTGAGTGGTTCAAAGCTTAGGCTCAAGGATGTGAGCCTGATTGGGCACAGAGGTATTAGGGATCATCAGGCTCACCCCAGTGGTGCTTAGACCATATGGTGCTGGGGTCCAAATTTGGATCCTGAGTATGCAAAGCATGTGCACTTAACTAGAGTTCTCTCCCAAGCACCATTTCAAGATCTTTCTCAACTATTTCTTAACTAAGATTCCCCACCAAACCTCCCCTTAAATTTCTTTCTCTGCCCCCCTTCCCTTTGTTTCTGTTGACAGTGCAATAACCCAGGTCTTAAACTTTAACTGGGCTGTGGTGTTCATCAATGTAGTAGCTTATCTTGTTGCAGTGCCTACACCACACACTTGGCTGCCATGTTATTAGGGACAGTTCCCATATTAGTTTGCAGGGCTGGAGGGGAGGTCACTTAGCTCTTGCACATTCTGCTGTTTGTTGTGGTTCGCAGAGTATGCCTGATGGGGACTCACATTCCCAGTCACTGTACTTGCACATTTATACTTGTGGTGTTCATGAATTGCACAAGATAGTGGCAGGTGTGTGCCAAAAATCAGGGGCCAGAGCAATAGTACAGCAGGCAAAATTCTCACCTTGCATGCAGCCAACCCAGGTTTGATCCCAGGCATTCCATATGGTCCCCAACCATCGCCAGGAGTAATCCCTGCGTGCAGAGCCAGTAGTAACTCCTGAATACCACTGTACAGCCCAAAAACCAAGACAGAAAGAGAGGTGGGGGGATGGGGGAGGGAGGGAAAAAGAAAAAGAGAGAGGGAGGGAAAGAAGAAGGAAGGGAAGGAAGGGAAGGATGGGAGGGAAGAAAAAGGGAGGAAGGGGAGAGGGAGAAAAACGGTACCTTCACTGCAGTGTCAGAGATCACAGATAGCTGAGTCACTGGGACCCTACTCAGCCCATGTGGACAGTACCTGCAACTGAAATCATGACCTTGGACTTTTAGCCACTGAGCCACATGCAGGGTTCCTTTTCAGTAAATATCTTTCTTATATAAGTTAATTAAAGTCAGAATCTGTTGCTCACAATGAAAAAGAAAAAAACCCTACAATACAAAAAGATGGTTACATGAAAATAAGTATAACTACAGAGACAATGTATTTATATATTCATATTACATTAGTATACTATTGGAGAGTATGGGCTTCTTGTTTGGGGGCCACAACCAGAGGTGCTCAGGGCTTTCTCCTGGCTCTGTGCTCAGAGAGCTAGTACAGGGATTAAGGTGCATACAGCTATTCCTAGTTTGATCCTGGCACTATAGATGGTCCTCTGAGCCCTGCCAGGAGTGATCCCTGAGCAAACAGCCAGGAGTAAACCCTGGGCACTGCTGGGTATGACCCAAAATCCAAAATAAACAAAAGAAAAGAAGCTAAATATTAATCCACAACTCTTCTCTAATTTTTTTAGACCATACCGAGCAGTACTCAGATGCAACTGTGAGCAGTGCCGGGGGACCATATGGTACAGTAACCCAGGCCGCTAAAAGCAAAGTATTCCTTCCCAAATCCCAGCAAAACACAAGCTGGACAACCTGCAGTGTTGAAAGGTTGCAAGGAAATAAGCATGTTGACACACTGTTGTGGGAATGCAATTGGTAGTATTCTGGAACATGTTTTAGTAGTAACACCCAGTACATTTTTCACATTTGTGTGCACTAAAATCAACCTTTCCAAAAGATTTTAAGACGTGCATAAAAGCATATGTATAAAGATATTCTCTGAAGCATGGGGGGGGGGGGAGGTTAGAGAGGAGGAAAATAATTGTGTATATGTCAATCAGAAGAAAAATTTACGCAGCCATTAAAATGAATGAGTAAACCTATGGGTACCTGTATTTTTAAAAAATCCCAATCAATTCTACTAGGTGGTTAAAAAATAAACTCTTAGGCTCTTAGGTTGTGTGTGTCCCTGGCATGTATTAGTCAGGCCAAAAGCCCAATAAAAAAAGCAAACGAATGCACATTACTCACTCGGAGTAGCCGCTGGCTATATACTCTATACACAGAGCTATGGACAGGCATTGGGATGTCATAAAGATTTTTCACTTACAGTCCTGTCGCAATTTAATGAAGAAAAAGGTGTAAATTTACGAAAAAGAGACTACAAACTGCAGTATTGAGAGAGTGACTGGGGTGGGGAGAGGAAAAGATGGTATTTTTCACTCTAGACTCTGAAACTCAAAATTTCTCAGCAGAGGGGCTGGAGTGATAGCACAGCAGGTAGGGTGGTTGCCTTGCACGCAGCTGACCCGGGTTCGATTCCCAGCATCCCATATGGTCCCCCGAGCACCGCCAGGAGTAATTCCTGAGTGCATGAGCCAGGAATAACCCCTGTGCATCGCTGGGTGTGACCCAAAAAGCAAAAAAAAAAAAAAAAAAAAAATTCTCTCAGCAGAGAGAAATCACACACATGAACCTACGTTTTAAAGACAAATGCCATGAATCCCAAGTTTTTTTTTTTTTAAATCCTAGCAAGTTTCCAAGTCACAGTGAAAAATAAGGTAAGACATCCTTATGGAGTCTAAAGGAGTCCAGTTCTCCTTCACCACGTAACGAAGGCTTACCTCAAAAGAATATTATTTCTTCTGGAATATTCCCATCACCTTCCAGACCGGAAAGTTCCAAGCCATTTGCACCACTGTGAACCCCACCCTAGTAGGAGGCAGTCGTCACGGGTGGGGCCGCTTTTTTAGGATTTTAATGTTGGTTAACTGCAATAGGCAGTTGGGAACTGTCCAGTTTCTCCCAAAGTGACTCACTGAAAAAAAAAAAAAAAGACAAGTCACGCGCCCGGTGTCATAAACGGTGTCTTTTATTGAGAGTGCCGGAAGGTATTAAAAGATTCGTGAAAGAGACGTCAGGGCACCGAACGCTAAAGCATCCCGAATACAGAGGACTAGAAAATCTCGGCTCACGTCGGGCCGCCGGGACGCGGCGTGACTTTGCACAACGCCACGCTCGAGAGCGCAAACACGGCCGAGAGCGAGGGAGGACGCGGGGACGCGCGGGGCTGAGGGGGGCTGAGGAGGGCCGCCGTCCGAGGGAGGGCTGGAACCACCTCCTCAGAAACCTGGCCCGCGCGGACCAGGAGGCCACGCACGTGCGACACTTCACGAGCGACATCCCTTAGTCGCGCGGGGCGCCCCGCCCGGCCCGGGAGGCCACGCACGTCGTGACGCGCGTTCGCTAGCAGGCGTCTGCCCTCCATTTTGTCTCCCGTCTCGTCTAGAAGCTGCGGGGCTGTTTTCAAGTTAGTCAGTACTGAGGGAGGCGCGCGGCTCTTCGCAGAGAGCTGGCGCTAGGGGATACGCCGCAGCCAGTGAGGAGGTGGAGCCGCTAGTGGCACCCGGGGCTCGCCTTGGGGCCGGAAGGACAAAGGACACGTAGGGGACGCGGGCCACGAGCTGGTGCCGGCCCACTTCCGGCTCGGCCGGCCTAGGTCGGGGAGAGGGGGGGGAGAGGCAGGGCCGGGCTGCGGGGCCCGCGCGCAGGACAAAGCGGCCGCGGCGCGCGCCCGGCGCCCGTGCACGCGAGCACGCGAGCACGCGGACGGCGGTTGGAAATGGCGGTTGGGCGGAAGGAGGGGGCTGGGGCGAGGCGAGGCGCAGTCTCGAGGTGCCCGCCGCCTTTCGGCCCCGCCCCGTCGCCTGGGAGGATGGCGGAGGTGGTTTCGCTAACTGTTCCTTCGGTGCTCCCTACCCTCCGGTGTGGGGAGACGTTAAGAGAGAGTTGGAGACCGGTCCGGTGAACAAAGCCGCCGGCGGTCAACCTACAGCCCGGGCCCAGTGCGGCCATTGCCGAGTCAGAGCCATCCCTAAAATGGCGGCCGGGGCGCGGGGCGGGGCTACTGCGGACTTCCGCTCAGGGCGGCTCGGCCGGGACGGGGCGGGGCTGCGGGCGCCGACTCGTGCCCATGGCGGCCGCGCAGGAGCCGGGCGAACCCGGGAAGGGAAAGGTAATCCGAGCAGCGGCGGGCGCGTGAGTGGCGGGCGGGGGCGCGGCGTAGCGTGGGGCGCGGGCGGAGGCAGGAAAGGCCACGGCCTCTGGAGCGGGGAGACCCTCGGCGGATGTACGTAGCAGTTTTTGGCTTTTCTGCCATCGGTGCACTTGAAACAGCCCTCTCTCACTCCAGACCTTGCTGTTTTAAACTAAATTGCCACGGCACAGGTGAAATTAAAGCCTGGTCCTTCCTGAACAGTTGCCAATACTGCCTCCTTCAGCACGAACAAGTATTTTGCTGACCGGGAACTTGCACGGTAATTTGCTAGTATGTTAAAAGCCCCCGAGGATACGTGCTTTCCTTCAGTGTTGCATGCCTGCCTCATAGCACTTAACGTAGGAATCAGTAAATGCATCTTAATACTGATTTGATTCCAATGAAAATTTATTTATATTCAGGTGACTTTGTCCAGAGCCTTAGGAATGAATGACATTTTCTTTGGCCTTACTTGCTCTCCACTAAGTGGAGTGTGCACTATTGTATGGAACCAGTAGCTTTCACCACCCTCCGTTCCTGCCTCAGACCTATGTTCAACTCTCCGCTGACCTGTGAGCGGGATCATTTCACACCCTGACGTAAAATCCAGATGTTGGGGCCCAAGGGATAAGACAGTGGGTAAGGTGCTAGCCTTGCGCGCACACACCACCCGGGTTTGATCACCGCAACACATACTGGAATGCACCAATATTCCGTTGTTGTTAAAAAACAAATAACAAAATAAAAGATCCGATTATTACAGACTATTTAACTGCAGGAAAATTTCCTAATTATTTGGCCTGGAGTGTAAACCCCTTCTCTAGACCCTAACTGTTCAACTTGACTTCCACACTTCGCTTTTCAGAGATACTAAATTATTTCTACTTTAACCTGGAGGGTTGCCTAACCTAAGCAGGGCACTGTTTTTGTCCTGATCCCCTTTACACGTTGAACATACTATATATGTAATGCCTTTTAACCTAAATTTTACTCTCCTCCTCTAGGACTCCTTAATAGCAGGGAATCCATTCACAACTGCAGTACAGTGATGTTCAAGGAAAATTATTTTTGCTTGGATCAGTTATGTACTTTATTGACTGAAAGCCCCGTGTGCCAGAATATTCCTAATCTAGTCTCCACTTGGATGTTTTTCTGGGGGCTTTTCCATCTAAATTTGGCCAAGATAGATTACCAGATAGTTATTATAAACAAATGTTGGATAAGCTTCCATACTTTTTCAATTTGTCCACTATTGGTAGCTTTTCTTTTTTCAATGTGTTTGGAATATACTTAGGGAAACAAAAACTTTCCTTTGTTTGAAATTTCCCAATGTAACTTCACTAAATTCTTTCATCTTTGGAGATAAAACTTGACCTGTAAGAGATCTTAAGGGTAGTTTAATCTGTTGAGAATTTAGAAATAATTCAATTTGTAAAGCTCAAATGTCTAAATTAAATAATATCAGTGTCAATAAAACTTAAGGATAAATGAACTGATCACTGCCAGATATGTGGGGCAAAGTTTAAAGAAAAAAAGGGGGGGGCATGTAAATCAGTTGCTCTTGAGCCATCAAAACCCTATTGTCAATACTCTAGGAGCCACAGGGATAGTACAGTACATAGGGTATTTGCCTTGCATGCAGCACTCCCAGGTTCCATCCCTAGCACCACGTATATTGGTCTCCCCAACATGAGTAGTGATTCCTAAGCAATCCAGGAGTAAGCCCTGAGCATTACTGGATGTGCTTCTAAGGACCTCTTCCCTCTCAATTTTTTCCCCAGTGATAGTACTACTACAGTCTAGGAAATGGGGCTATTTGGTTGTTAGAATAACAAACCTAATACAATCACGATCATCTATAGATTGCCTCGAGCAGGCCCCAGTAACCTCTCCTTCGTCCTAGCCCTGAGATTTTTCAAAAAGTGCCATATTCAAGGCTCTTTCAGGGTTAGAACGAGACCCATCATTGTCACTAGTATTTGGCATATTGGGTATGCCACGGGGAGTTTGCCAGACTCTGCTGTGTGGGCAGGTTACATTCAGTAGCCTGCCAGGTTGCCCAAAGAAAGAATGAGATAAGATGTCGTGCAACAGCATATGCAGCTGCACACTTCCGGGAGCTGGGTTTTATACTCTGGGTCTTGGCTGTTGATGGGATTACATGGTGCTGGGGGTGGGGGGTGGGGGGCCAGTTGGTGGGTGTGACCCCTGCCTACTGGAAGAGGGAGGATCTGGGTGGAGGATGCTCAGCCCCGATCTAAGCAGGCTTGGAGATCTCAGCCCCAGGACCCGCATGCCTTTGTTCCTCTGCCGGTACCTTCATGCATGTAACAAACCTAAGGAAGGGAATTATCAAGCTAACATTTCTGACAGAGCTAGCTTTAAGACTCGTTAAGAAACTAGAGGTACAAAATGTGAAATTTGTTATGTGACTTCCAAGAATGCTTGTAGGCAAAAATTCTCAAGTCACATTCAAAACCAATATTATGTACTAAATAGGAGCTCCCTAGTTTGATCAATACTGTACAGGCAAAACTGCGATCCTTATAGACACCCAACACTGCATTCTACTAGATGAATCAAGGACAGAATAATTTTCATTTTCTGGGGTGGAGAGGGAGTTCAAAGGGCTGAGTCCATGCTTTGCATGCAAGGGGCCCAGGTTCAGGCCCCAGCACTGGGGCCAGAGTGATAGTACAGTGGGTAAGATATTTGCCTTGCATTGGGCCAACCTGTGTTCCAACCCCAGCATCCCATATATAGAGAGGGATGTAACCTAGAGTAACCTAGCACTGCTAAGTCATACCAGAAGCAAAATTTCATTTTCTGACCCAGACCAAAAAAAATATCAGAAATAGGCTTGCCAAAGGAATGGCCAGTGTGCCTAACCTAAGATTACGGGGAAGGCGGTCTAAAGTAGAAAAGGCTCCAGCATAACTGAAAACCAAAAGGTTTTAAGAAAACAAAACTTGGGGCTGGAACCACAGTACAGTGGGTAGGATGCTTACCTTATATGCAGCCGATCCAGGACTGATCCAGGATTGACCCCATATGGTCCCATGAATTCACCAGAAGTGATCCTTGAGTGCAGAGCCAGGAGTAAGCCCTGAGCACCAGAGGTTGTGTTCCCCCTCCCCGCCAAAAAAATGAAACTCAACTGAGTAAAATCAAGAATTTTAATAAAAATAGAGAGCAACGTGATAGCTTGGCAGGAAGATGAAAAGTGGTTTAGTTCAGCACATGCTTTTAAAGGTAGGTCCTTCCAGACTTGCTGATACATTGGACTTCAGCTTGATGAAGAAAGGAATTAAGAACGATTCCTGAATTTATCTGAAAATTGGCTGATAATGAATTAAAATTTTTTTTCATTTTCCGGTTTTGGGGCCTCTCCTGGTAATGCTCAGGGATCTTCCTGACAGTGCTTACAGGACCATATGGGATGCAGGGATTGAACCCGGGTTGGTCACATGCACAGCAGACACCCTACCCACTATAGTCTCTCTCTGACCCATGATTTTTTTAAATTTTTTGGTTTGGGGGCCTAGTGATGCTAGGAAACTAGTGATGACTCCTAGTGATGCTTAGGGATCACTTCTGGCAGTGCTGGCTAAGTTCTAGGGATTGAATCTGGGCCTCCAGCATGCAGAACATGTGCTCCAGTTCTTTGTGCTACTTCCCCGGCCCCACCGTATTTTTTCCAACAAAATATAGATGAATGAGGCTGACAAAAAAGACCAGGCTTTGGTGTATATAGATTAGGAAGTTATAAATAACCTCGAATTAAATATCTCAAGGTGCCTAGAAAAAGAACAGATGAGGTAATAGGAGTGGAGAAAGGTGTTAACACTTAGAGGCTATGAAAAGTGAAGATAGCTACAGAGCTGCCAGGGTGGCCTAGTGAAACAAAACCAGAGGGCCAGAGAGAGTGCAACAGGTAAGGGTGCTTGCTTTGATTTCCCAACATTCAGTATGGTCCTAGAGCACTGCAGAAGTGATCCCCAGGTGCAGAACCAGGAGTAAGCCCTGAATACCACCAGGTGTGGTCCAACATCAAATAGAAAACCAGGAGGTAATATTTGAAGTTACATAAAGGAAATGTTTTAAGAGCTGGGAGAGAAAAGAACTGAAAAGCATGCAAGTTCTCCCTACCCCCAGCACCACAGGTTGTTGCCTGGTGACCCAGTACACCTGGGCCCAAGCAGCACTTCACGTTGAACCATCCATCCACTGAGAGATTATCACAGGGAGTGGCCCCAGGACTTCTGGGGAATCCCCCACCCCAAGTTCAAAACCTTTGTTCTC